AGAGCCTCAGAGATACGAACAACACAATTGGATCGAGAATAACCTCATCGTATGCTGCCACTTCCTTTTCTAACTGGTATAGGAGAAATTAGCCCCCAACTCTGTCCTATTTAAACCGATATACCTTGTATCTGTTTCCTCGATCGGTTCCTACGGACTTCATCAGTAAGCATGTACACAAAACCACTATCGGAGATGCACTGACCCTCGACATCATAAGGTATGGGCTCAGAGGGCTCAAATTCGTGGAAACTAGAAGGACATGCTGGAGTATTGTCAGATGATCGACCTATTTAATGCACTATTGAATAGACGTGCCTACCACATAACCCGCCGAAGCTATCTGACCAGCGAATCTCTCTACTGGCCCAGTTACCTGGTATATCTCACTAACTCTGAGCCAGGTTTGCGAAATGAATGGGCATTAGATTTACCTGAAGACTACAACGCCGGGAAATCGTGCCTTGGGATATCCAGGGACAACCGGAGAGATCACAAAGATACGGTTAGGATGTCCGTTGGGCGATAATTTAGATGGAATGTCGTGATATGACTTTGAAATCAGCATTGCGATTTAAGAGGGAAGATGCAATTCGAAGATGCGGTAAGAGTTGAGTACTCTCAAGCGACCGTGCAATAGATCGATGTGCCAATACCTAAAAAGACGGGTTTTAGCAACCACATTCACACCATTCTATCTAATCATTTAGTCATCGAACCATCATAGTTAACATAAAGATGTAAATTATTGATAGAATTAATCTCCCTCTCTCACTAAACAAGGGGGCCCATTATTTAACAGGAACATCAAAGGAACAATATCTTATGGTAATCAAGTGGTTTCATGCGGTATGAAAGTTGCAGGAAAAGGAAATGAAACCGTCCTGCCATCGCCCCTTTTGTGGAACCGGTTTGTCAGGAAATACTCAACGGGACGCAACGTCTTTTTATTGAATTGATGCGGTGTATCTAGAGTTATATTAATGAAGCTCACTTGTTCCAGAAATGTTTGATGCCGTAGAGGAGAACACGTCCACGGGTGTTTCCTATGGCGAGGAAAGTGCTATCATTTGAAAAGCTTGTGGTAGTAATGTGCCCGAGAGGAGTACTGGATGTTGGCCAGTTAGAAAAGGAAGTGGCAGCATACGATGAGGTTATTCTCGATCCAATTGTGTTGTTCGTATCTCTGAGGCTCT